TTCAGCAATATCAAAAATTTCAGTAATATAAAAAAATTTTTCTTTTTATTTCTAATGTAATTTTGCTCAATAAAATTGCTTAAATAGATTTCGTTGAAATCAAAATATTTCAATTTTTTCTATTTCACTATTTTTTTTTCGAAAAAAAAAATGAATGATATTTTCTAGCAAAAGAATGATTTGTTCGTTTTGAATACAAATGGATACGACCGAAGGAAGTTCAAGGCTTGGTCTGAAGTTGGTTTTTTTTTTTTTTTTAATTATTATTTACAACATATCTAATCTACGGTATAAATTACAGCATATTAAATTTACAGTATAACTTACAATATATACAATTTTTTAACAATATACGCAACAATATATGAAATTTACAATATATACGATAATATACATACCATACAGTACAATCCGCAATGTATCGATCTACAGTAACAAAATGAATGTTATTCATTGTGTTATAAAAAGTATTTCAATAATATCATAAAAAAAGAATTTAATGTAGGAAAGATTTTGTGATTTTTTTATTCTAACTCCGTTACGCTGATAGAAACCTTTATTGGGCTTATACAAAGTGGTGTAATATCCCACTGAATGAACAATACACAACAAGTATTAAAGGATATCAAACCGTCTTACCGCTCATGCTGTTGAATTGTCGCTTCTCTACTGTTGAACCGTTGTCGTGGTTCAGTGTCTGACTATGCCCTCTCCTTGAGTGTTTGCGCGAGTTGTCCGATTGAGTAACTTAGCGAGCTATCGATTCAGAAACTGTTAGATCTATTAGATTGAGTGTGTGAGCTGTCGGATTGAGTGATTGCTCCAACTTTTGATTTGGTTACTGCCGCTAGGATGACTAATACCAGTTCCTTGTCTAGTGAAAGTGGTTTAACATTCCAGATATATTGACTTGATTATCAGATTGGAAATTCTTTACAAGATTTCGACATTTGCACATAAGTTTATAACATTCCGATAATTGCATGCAAGCTTGATTAACAGATTGGAAAAATTTTACAACAAAAGACTTTTTTTTTACAACATTAAACATTGCAATTAAGATTGGTTTAAACATTGGATAAATGACCCATCACTTTAGATATCGAAATATTTATTTCATCAATTTTATGTAACGGATCATTAATCTGAGAAATATTCTAGATCTTAATTAGAACAACTCATCAGATTTTTTTCGACTTCGCTGATATTTAAGTTATCAGTGATCAATGTCGGAAAAATCGAAAAAAAAATTTAATATGTTGAAACATAAGGTATTTGTTGCATAGAATGTTTACTAGATAAACGATTCATCACATTGCACAATAAAATATAAAGTGTTTTCCCATACCTAATGTAATGAGTCAGTTATCTAGAAATCATCCAAAAATACTTTGATGCTGAAGAATGCATACATCCGTTAACTAATTTGTAAAGGCTTTATCCTATGTACAAATCTTAGATACACCTGTGAGAAAGCTATACATCTGGTCAAACAATTTCCTCTTTATATAAAGGTGACTGATATGTAAATTTCTCTTCCAGCTGTGAGAATACTGTCAATTTGTAATGACAAAAAAATTCCTCTTCACACATTCCTTATATAAAACATAAGAAATTCTAACACTCATTCAATTCCATCGGTCGGCACTTAGCTTCATACAACACATTCTTCATTTTTTCTCCCAGTTCACTAATTACTACTCATTCACTTATTACTACTCACAAATTCTCCCCATTCTTCTGCTGGTATTATTCTGGACGTCATTCTATTGTAACTGGAATTAGTTGAGCCTATTTCTGTTATATTTGCAGACGATAATAAAGGATAAACTGCTGTACGTTTCGAACACACAATACCGGTACTCTGTAAGTCGTTCCTTTAAAACTTGACTGCTTCTACAACGAACAAAAACAACATTCCTTATCTTCTTACTCTTTTTTTCACGACAGATATCGTATCCTCAAATTTGAGTAAACTTCCCACTTTTGTACATTCATTTCTGTCTTCTTCATTAGTCCATCAATTTGGTAATGATTCCTTTTTTGATCCTTCGATTACTCAATTTCGTTAAATTAGTAGTCATTTAACTACGTAAAGTTAAACTGGTACCCTTTCAATTAGTTTCCAGTGGTTATCTGCCAACAGTAATAACATTCTTTTCTTTCAATGTTATTAATAACCAGGCTCTAAATTTCCATATTCCTCTCCCGTTACATATCATTTTTTGGTCGTATGGTTACGTTTGCCAAATATGATTATGCGTTATCCACAATTAAATTAATCATCGTGAAGTTCGAAAAATATAATACGTTTTAAAAAGAGCAGCACCTAATTGTTTAGGTTGAGGATTATTGTTTAGGTTGTTGATTATTAATTAATTTATGTCAGATGCTTTTGCTGGTAAATGTCCTCATAACCATTACCGTCATGCTATCATTCCGTTAGTATCATTAAAATGCTTACAAGACATTCCATATTTCATTAATGCTCGCGCTTTGTCAGCTGAAAACTATTTTTTTCCATTTTAAAATCGTAAAATTTTCAAAATTTCATGAACTTTTCCTCTATACAACAAATTTGAAAACTATGTTTAAGAATGGATATGGAGTGTGAACAAATGACTTGGTGGAATCATATATAAATCAGTAGTATAGATTATGAAAAATATAGCAATGCAGTTTTCCCCTCTCTCTAATATTGCCTCAGTTTTGAAGGTTTGGAAGAATTATAGCGAAATAAAACAAAATTGTGCAGGAAATTTTGCGACTGCTTTGCATAAATTAATTTTTACAATGCAATATAACAACTAAAATAAAACTATTCAGTTTAAAGGATTAAACAGCCACTGCTACAATTACATTATTACACGTGGACAAAAATTATCAATACAAATAATTTGCCACTCTCATTTGGATGATTATTTATACAGACGATACTTGTGCAGTACCTAACAGAAGAAGCGACTGGTCGTTTGTCCTAAACTCTCTTCCACGATTTTTATCCGGTAAAATCTATTTCATTTATTTCAATAGACAATGTCAACTGCCTTTCAAAGTGTCGCGTTATGAAAGATTTTGGAATTTTACGAATTTCAATAGACAATGTCAACTGCCTTTCAAAGTGTCGCATTATGAGAGATTTTGGAATTTCACGACGAACCTGTAAATAAGCACTTTTTTGAACCAAAATTATCTTTTTATTAAATTTGTAATTATGAACATTGTAAAGACTTTGGAGCTTATCGTCTGAGTGAAAAATGCAATTATATTATACTAGCGGAAAATCGAAACCGTTCGTGTCACGAAAGTCGCGAAAAACTAAAATTTTATAATTATACAAATAAAATTAGGAATGTTTTCCATGATTCATGGTTTACCATTTATCTCACATATTTGTTTAAATTTACATTCCTTAGATTTATTTCCCGTTTCAATTCCCATCTTTTTCCTTTATGTCTAAGCACATGTCTTTGTTCAGAAATGCCTTTGTTAGCAACTGCCTAAAATATCTAACTAAATACACATCAAATCTGCTCATTGGATCTTGTTGCGATGGGCATGTTTTTATAATTTGGCTCTCAACAGTTTTCGGTGTTTAATATCACCGCATCTCACTTCTTTACATAAGCCTATCCAAAAAATAAAAAAGTTTTTTTTGGACGCCACACCAACGCTATTAACAGGAAATTTCCTGGCATTTCTGCTCTTAATCCAACTGTCCAATTATTATCAATTTAAAGTCAATTTGGCTTGGTCAATATTAATGTTTTATCTGCATATTATCCTGTTAATAAAGAAGTTCTTTGGTCACTCTCCTACACAAATAAATATCAAATTTATTGTTGCTGGAACTATTCAACTCAGATAATCAAACTTTCACAACAGTTCGTTTTTTCAATGTTAATATATTTGGGAAAACATTTACCGGAAGAAATTTTTCCGCCACGTCAATATCAAACAGAAGGAGGTTTTATTCCTTATAAGTAACCATTTATTGCATTAGTAAACTTGAATATTTTTCAGAATAGGCAAGAAATTAGTTACATCAATATGCATTCCATTTATTTCGCCTTTTTCTTCTTCCAACTGGGCAACATTCAAACCTCAGTAAGTTCATTTAAAGTTAAAAATACAACGCAACATTACAGTATTTCGAAGATTTCAAATTTTTAACACAGTATGAGATTGATAATTTCATACAATTTAAGGAGGCGCAAACAGAACAAACAAAACCGCCAGATTTGTCAGTGCAGGGATTGAATGACGAACAAATGGAACCATTGCGGTTATTAGCCGAAGTGGCCGATAAAATGCCGAGAGCCGAAGTAGCTGTCAAAAATACAGATGAATCTGACAGTCAAAATTTAACAATCAAGATGAAGCTAACAGTCAAAGAAAAGAGCGTTAAAAGAAATAATGCGGAACAACTCGCAGGGAGGAAAGGGAAAACGATGAAACTGCCGTGTAAAGTATGTCAAAAGGAAGTAACAAGCATGAAAAACCATATGAGAACTCATACCGGTGAAAAGCCTTACAGTTGTCCAATATGTAAGAGAAGTTTCTCTTGTTTATCAACTTTGAAGGGTCATCAGAGAATTCACACCGGTGAAAAGCCGTACGTCTGTCCCACATGCAACAAACGCTTCTCTCAATTACACCATAAGAAAGATCATATAAGAATTCATACTAGTGAGAAGCCATACGTCTGCCGGATATGCAGCAGTAGTTTCTCTCAATCATCGCATAGGAAGTCCCATATGAAAACTCATACCGGTGAGAAGCCTTGCAGTTGTCCCACATGCGGGAAAAGTTTCTCTCGACTATACAGTATGAAAAGGCATATGAAGGCTCATACCGGCGAGAAGCCTCATACTGGCGAGAAGCCTTACAGTTGTCCTACATACGGGAGAAGTTCCGTTGATTCATCAGCTATGGAAAATCATATGAGAACTCATACCAATGAAAGGCCGCACAGTTGTCGGGAATGCAAGGAAAGTTTCAGACTAAAACAACATTTGAAAAAGCATATGGCAAATCACAACAAAAGTATGCCTCTCTACAACTGTACTTTTTGCGGTAAAGATTTCCTAACTAAATGCTATTTGAAAATACACAAGAAGAATCATGAAAGAAGCTGAAGGGCACATTTTAAACTGAAATGTACGTTGTTTCGTTGATTATAAATTATATTTCTGTGCTTAGTTCTTATTTTATTAATAAGATTCTATTGCTGTTATTATTTATCGCTTGCTTATAAGTACTCATTTTTTATCTCATATGCATAATAGTATCATATTTTTATCTACAGACATATTAAATTACTTTTTCGTTATTCGCGTACACATAACAAATAACTGGCATGCTATGCACGCGGCAAGTAACTGACATGCTATATGCAAATAAATATAACTGTTAGTTGTAGTCTCGTGTCATTTCATAGGATCATCCGTTGTCAATTCTATGCAATATTCCATCGACGATAAGCACTTCAACTGAACTATTTGAAGCAACGTTTCATTCAGTTGGGATATTTGATAATCAAATCCAGCTATTAACCTGTGCCAATTAATGGATGGACAATTAATCGGTATTAATAAAAGCTTAAAATCTGCAAGAGATTTGAGATATCTTATGCGAAAGATATGCAAAAAGTTCTTTGTCCAACTGAGCAATATTCAAACTACAGTAAATTCATTTAAAGTTGAAAATACAATGCAGCACCACACATTTCAAAGATTTCAAATTTTTAACACAATGTGAGATTGATAATTTCATATAATTTGAGGAGGCGCAAACGGAACAAACAAAGTTGTTGGATTTATCAGTGCAGGAAATGAGTGGAATACAAATAAGGCAATGGGAATTATTAGTCGAGGAAAACTCGTACAGAATTAATAACTTAAAAATCGAAAAAAGAGAGCGTTAAATGAAAAAGAACGGAAGAAATGGCAGGGAGGAAATTGCGAAGGAAGAAACCGCAGTGCAATATATGTCAAAAGGAAGTAATAAATATAAAAGAGCATATGATAACTCATACCGATGAGAAGCCGTACGTTTGTCCGATATGCAACAGATAGTTTCTCTTAATCATGCAATAGGGAGATCCATATAACAGATAGTTTCTCTTAATCATGCAATAAGGAGATCCATATAACAGATAGTTTCTCTTAATCATGCAATAGGGAGATCCATATAACAGATAGTTTCTCTTATTCATGCAATAGGGAGATCCATATAACACAATTCATACTGGTGAAAAACCGTTCGGTTGCAAGACATGCAACAAAAGCTTCTTTCAGTCATGATTAAAACCTATATGAGAACTCACACCGGTGAAAACCCGTTCCACTTCGATATATGCAAGGGAAAATTCCCTGATTCATAGAATATGAAAATCTATATGAGTATGGAATCTATTCAAAATTATTCAATTTCTCAGTTAATGAGCAAGCAGTACATGTCATTATTTGTGTAAACCAATGCAAAATTCGGATGGTTTATGTTTCTTCGGCGAGATTGCTAATGAAAATACAGTTGCAGTAACAGACTTTGTTGTAGCACTGATAATTTTTTTTTAAAATTTCTTCTACTGTAAACGAAGGAAGAAAAGGAAAAAAGAAAAGGAAGGAAGGGATTTCTTGTCAAAAGAAAATGCACACACTGATTAAGCATCATAATTAAGCATTGCCTTATTTCGCACTCAATTTGGGAAATGAAGAAAAAATCGAATTGACAGTCTTAGAGAGAAATTAAAAAGATCATTGCAATTATTAATGATTTTTAACTTTGAGGAAATTCAATTTAGTTGTTAATGATACCTCAGTTTCTCGATAAAAAATTTTTCTCCTCTTCTTTTTTCAAAGGGAAAATTTTTAAAAAGTTTAATCATTTGAAATAGCTATATTTATTAGCCGTAACTGCCATCACTAAAATATGCATAACATTATTTGTATTCCATTCAAATATAATTAGTATTTCGTTTGTTGATTTGAAAATTTCACAATTAATTGATTTCAATTGCCAAATGATCATTGCTAAAATATCAAGCTAGCAGAAAAACGAAAAAGATATCATAAGAGAAATTTTAAAATGAAAATTAGTTTAGCACAAATGAGTAACGAATAAATTCTTCCATAAACTGTATGTAGCAATATATCATTATTCAATACGATATTTGCTGATGTATTATAAAGAAAGGTTGACGTCTTAACGTCATAATCATAATTACTGTCATTTTTTGATATGAATAATAATGCTGATAATGATAATGGATTAGATACAATTAATTACGTATACAATAAGTGTACGCCTGTCAATGCTAGTCAGTTTTGAAAAAATATTTCCTAAATTCTGAAAATTCTCAATTTGCTGCAAATTATTTTAATTCATTGTAATTTTTATCGGCAAAATGAAAAACAAGATTTGCAGTGATTTTTAAATTGATAATTCCTGAAATCATTATTTTTACCATTATTCGATAAAGAAATGAAAAAATTTTTTTCTAAATCGATTTTTAAATTAAATATAATTTGATTCACTTGACTTTTTGAAACGAATTTATGGATTTTTTTTTTAAATCTATGTCATTCTTACGACAGAGTGATTGCAGGTTTGCCAATTTGTTATCCATTATTTTGGATTGTTTGCTGCTTTCAACGTCTTATTTTTAGCTTGTTTGGTGACACTCTGTGTGACATTATGTGCGATTTAAAGCTGTTGTCGAAAACCAAATTAAATAAACCGATTTAATGATAGTCTTTTCAGTGTTTTAATTGGATGGACCAAAATCTTAGCAACGGAACTGAAAATGAATTAGAGAGAAGCTAAACTCAATCGACAATTGAACGGATAATTGAAATGTGAAATTCGAAAACCAAGTCAAAAAAAGTTTAAAGTGAAGTGGCCGAATAACTAAATATTATATCAAATATGAAGGAAGTAATTGCCTTATTTTATGCAAGAGTTATAACCTTTCACCTTTCATTTTTTAATAAGTTTAACAATCGGTTTTTCATACATCATGGTATAACAAATTTAATTTTCCTGTCATGTAGCATTTTTTTTCCCAACTTTATCTATGTTTTTTTAAAATCAATTCTTTCAATTAATTTATATTCTCCAATCATTTCTTCGTCGAACAAAGACCAATACTGTGAGTACTGTGAGTAACAGATGTATTTCAAAGCAAAAACAGTGAGGAGTGTCTTCATTCACAATGAATAAATACAATATTTCACCAGGAGTATACTATATGATTTTTACTTCGGAAAAAGAGCAATTAATTAGCATTTAATTGACAAAATCTCATCAAAATGCAAATCTGTCAGCTTTTTCTAATTGATTTATATAATTCAATTTTCTAAAAGAAGTATCAAAATTTATTATTGTGCAATGCTAATGAATACAATGAAACATTCATATAAATGCAATTACACAATTCAGTTGTTGCTAATTAGTACGAGATAATAAACTTTTTTTTTTTTTTTGTTTTTTGATTAGCTTTGAACAGAGAAATTTTTATGATATAACCAAAATTTTGCATTCTTTTGTGGCCAATTTCATTCAGTGATTATCTGAAAAAAATAATACCGAGGAATGGAAATGAAAAGTATAGCAATTCAAAGTAATCATTTCAAATTATTTTTTAAATTTATTACTATTATCATTATTATTATTAATTTTTTTTTTTTTTGTAGATAATATTTAACATGCGTTAAATAAAGTTTCCTGTTCTATTTCTTTAAACTAAATTAAAATATATCATTTAAAATTTTGAAGGCGTATGATTTGTTGCATGGATGAATGCAAGAAAAAGTCTGAAAAAATTTTAATGTACCATTCCAGAAATTCATTTTTGGAAAATATAAGAAAATTTTAAAAAATTTTCAAAACCGGTTGGCACATTTATTTGTTAATTAAGATTTAAGATATCAATTAAATAACAGCAATCCTTCAATTGAAAATCATTGATTCTTTTCTTCTCAAATATGTTGTGTCAAAATTTACAAAAGACAAAAAAAAAGTAAAAATTTCAAATAATCGAACTATTAGCTAAATTTTAAAAATAAATCGCTTTTTTTTTTCAAGATTTTCTTATTTGTAATTATACCTTGCTGTTTATTTGTTTATTTGTTTAGTTTATTTTTCCCCCCTCTTACTCTTATTCTTTTTACTTCTTTTATTTACATATGCATATATATATATATATATATATATATATATATATATATATATATATATATATA